CAGCCGGTCTCAAGGCGCACCGACATTATTTGTTCTGCCGAGAAATGGCATCAACAAATACACAAATACATCACAAGTTCGAGACCAAGGGTTCGGACGCGGGGGTCCAGGCGTTCGCATCTAAATCGCTTTACGGACGAAATTCGACGCGAATCATCGTCGATTATTTACGAATTGTTTTAAACTGGCCATTAGTTGGTCGGAGGGACGTGTAGTGTTGAATAATTTACCTTCCTCGTCGACGCGCATGCTGACTCATTGATGCCTGGGCAATCATGGCAGACGGGAAATGATTTGGATAGAGAGTTTCGGAAGTACATGTTACTTTGCCGCGTCATTGCTTTTCTCTATAGACACAAAATTTGAGTTTTTTCGAAGGCACGGTGGTGTCGGTGTGTGTGTGTGTGTGTGTTGCTGGTGTGTGTGTGTGTTTGTTTGTGTGTGTTGTTTGTGTGTGTGTGTGTGTGTGTGTGTGTGTGTGTAGTGTGTGTTGTGGGCTGTGGTGTGTTGTTTGTTTGTTTGTGTGGGTGTGTGTGTGTGTGTGTGTTGTGTGTGTGTTGTGCGTGTGTGTGTGTGTGGTGTGTGTGCTGTGTGCGGTGTGTGTGTGTGTTGTACTCGTGTGTGTTTGTTTGCTTTGTTCCTGTTGTGTGTTGTGGGAGGCGGAGCGGATAAAAAGTTGCAGTGAGAGCGGAGAGGAGGATATCGAATGAGAGAGATACTAGAAGAGAAAGGGGAGCGGGAAGGGTGGGGGGAGAAAGCAATAGAAAGAGCGCGCCCGAGCGGATGAGAGAATGAGAGAGGAGACGGAGAAGAGATGAGCGAGAGATCCGCACGCTGCACATGCAATGAAACAAAAAACAAAAAGGGATTCACAATGTCACTGTATCCTGCGCGAGAGCCTCTCATCTATACATTCTTGCTCGCCACACTGACAGCGACAATGAATCAACCCAGCTACGAGTGCTACGCATGCGCGTGGACGGGAGGTTTTCGAGCAGGCAGATGCGTACTCCGCGATGCAACGATCCATTCTCCGCGCAAGCGTCCACCATCGCTCAAAGACTGCTTCGGGCCTGCTCAAAGTCGCGTCTGCAATACAACGGTAGGTTACGATACCCGCCTGCAGGTGGTGCCTGAGTGCTGCGGCGTGGGTGGGGTGGCGGGGAATGCGAGTGGAGTGGGAGGGTTGTGGCGGTGGGGGCTGCGAATGGAGTGGAGTGGGAGAGGGTTGTGGGTGGGGTGGGCGTATGTGGCAGTGGGCGGGTTGTGGGGTGGGGTGGTCTGTGGGTGGGGCTAGGTGAAAACTTTCTCTATGCGGCAGGCGTAACGTGGAATTTTGAAGCAATTAGACATCTAACACTATGTGGATATCTTGCAGACAGACGTGATTCCTGGAAGGCTGTTCCCGAGCGTCATTTCACGGAGGTGTTCCCGAGGTGTTCACGGAACACGGCGCCGTCATTTCGTCGATGCTCCACGAGAAATAACGATGAATACAAATATACGTAATTATATGCAAATAATCTGCGACATATATTAGACGACTTTCTGTGTATCACTAGCGGAGTGGCCGCCCACGAATCAATGTTACGTGATGCTTTTCAAACTAGCGATATCGTCGATATCGATCTTACTCGATTAAGTTCTGAATTTTGTTTTATTTCAAGAAGGCTCCGGTCATTTCCTTAATGACTGTAGCACTGCATGTTTATGCTTGTATCTCGCCGACTGCTACACACACACACACACACACACACACACACACACAGCACACACACACACACACACACACACATACAGCACACACCACACACACACACAACACACACACACGACACACACACTACACAAACATACACACACACACACACACCACACCACACACACACAACACACACACGAACCCACACACACACACACACACACCACACACACACTCTACACACTCACACACTCACACACACACACACACACACACACACACACACACCACACACACTCACACACTCACATCACTCACACACACACACGACACACACAACACACACACACCGCACACACACACACACACACATACAACAATACACACATACACACGCAACCACACACACACACACACACACACACACACACACGAACACACAACACACAACACACACACACACACACACACACACACACACACAGCACACACCACACACACGAACACACACACACCACACACACACACACACACACACATACACATGCGCTTATGCGCTACGCACACACACACCACTACACACACACACACACACACACACACACACACACACGCAACACACACACACACTCACACACACACACACACTCACACACTCACACACTCACACACACACACACACACACTCACACACTCACACATTCACACACTCACACACTCACACACTCACACACACACCCACACCCACACACTCACACACTCACACACTCATACGCTCGTTATAGATGGACAGATCGTCGTGATACGCGCGTGTCATGACAAGGAGTTTAACGACACGCGCGAGGTGTGTCTGCAGGACTCGCTCGACTACAACGAAGCGTACAGCGTCGAGTCGTGCACATGCTTCAGCGACGCCTGCAACGACGCCGCATCACTGCGCCAGAGGGCGCCACTCGTCTTCGCCGCCATGTTGGCTCTCGGTGCCGCCTCGTGGCGCTGCCTCTGACCGTGGAGAATCTGACGTCGCATCTCACCGCCAGGTGGCACTGTCATCACCCCACGCAATGGAAGATGGGGGCATAGGCGATGATGTAGAATTTGTTTGAACACGAAGAAAGTGATATTGATATTACAAGTAAACTACGATAATACTAGTGCACCCTCCCTCGGTAGTTCATCAAGGAAGCCAGTCCTCCCTGATTCCCTGGTTTCCAACCCATATCATTGAACCCATCTATAAAGTAAATACGTATATATTATCAAGAGTCCATCATAGAAAATTTTCTTTTCGAAAATTCTAGTTGAAATTTTTTTATTATGGACTCTTCTATGGATATTATTGATATATGCATACGATTTAATACTATGTGTAGCCGTTGGCTTGCACGCGTGCGAACAAGGCTGTAGCGCTGCTATCAACTTTCATCTGCGGTCATCTGTGGCGAGGAACACGTGAGTGGAAGCATTCTGTAATCTCCTGCTATAGAGAATACTATATATATATATATATATATATATATATAC